GGTGAGATTTCTTTGATAGTCTCAAATTTTTCATTTTATAAAAGCAAAATGGCAAACATTTCAATATCTGTGAGAAAATGTATTCATCAGTATCAGTTAACCTGATTTTTATTTATTTCCAAGTTCCTAACTCATTGATTCAATGAATATTTATGCACTAGGCCCTTGCTAGACTAGAGATTCAGTGTGGACCAGTTCCCTGTTTCATGGAATTTGGATTATTACAGTGGCTGACAAACTGTCACATCAGTAAAGGCAGTGTTATATGTTCATTAAACACCATTAAGTAAAACTACATGATGTCTTGGGAGAGTTTGGTCTCCTGAGCAGGCCTAGGGATGGCTCTCCTGAGAAGTGGTGACTGAACTGAGGTCTGAAGAACAGTGGGATTTAACCAGGGACGTGTAAAACTTCCTGCTCACATCATTCAAATCTTAGTGAGAGTCAACATTCATGATTACAGCATTTCCATGAACTTTGAGTTCAAGACTCACTAAACTCTTTTCTGAGAAAGAGAATTCCAGTGTTGGTGAGTCTTAAAACTTAAGCAGGAGTGCCCCTAGCAAAGACCATTGTGCTCTACTAAAATGTGGAAGTCAGGAGAATAGATGGTATAATTAATTACCATCTCTGAAGGTGAAGCCTATAATACTCTAATCTTTGGTTCTGAAAATGTTGACAAAATCTGGTCTGAGTTGCTGTGAATAACTGAAAGCTTTTGAAAGGCAAGAATTCCAAAGATTATTACTTCAGATCTACTTCCAGAATACATTAGTTTCACTTTTAATTTTAATCCATAGCATGGCAAACATCTGCTGAAAATACCTGCTGCCTCTATCTCTGAAAAGTGCCAGCTGAGTTTAAACAAGACTCCAGTTATTTTCCAAACCTCCACACAAGAGCAAACAATAATCTGGGTGAAGAACCAGACCTAAATAAAATTAGGCCAAAACAGAAACCAGATTAACTCTACCTACCAATCTATGTAGACACTTGATATGTTTTTTCCGTTTTCTGAGAAATGTAGTTAGGAAAATATTGAGGGAAATCATAAATAGAGGAAACAGAAGTAAAGGATAAAAAAATCTATTGCTAGAAGAGATTCTATAGACCATCTTTTCCTGGGCTTTCAATTGAGATGAAGAGCTGACTCCGTCTTAGAAGTCTGCATACTCTGGTAGTTGGTGGCCAAGCTGGACCTAGATTGCTGGACTTCTGACCACAGTACCCTCCTATTACACACAGGCCTTCCTGCCATCATTCTCACAGCAGCCTCCCTAATCCGATGTGAACTAATATATTAAATGGCCCCAGTTAGGCCGGCTCTATTGTAAGCAGGCTACTTTAATTGTCCACAGAGGACAACTCAGCCAGGATATTTCAGCATCATTTAATAAACTGTTCAGAAACTTTCAGTATACTAAATGTACCCTTATGATTAGACTTGGAGATGGTAAACAATAACCTTTTATAATTGGGCTGGTAAAGTTGAGTTTACTCACTACACAAATGAAGCTATTTTATTTTCATGTCATTTTACATAAATATTTTAAAATGAATAATTAAACATCAAAAAGTTATCAACCAGCTTTATCTTGGTAACATAACATTAGGAGAAATAAGTATTTTTGTTCCATAGTATCATGCACAAAAACAATGCTAATTATAACTTCCAGGACAACTTCTGATCCTAATTAAAAGGTAGAAATGTTAATTCCCAATTACATTATCTAGTTATTAAGGCATAACGCTATATGAACTTTAGGTGGCATTTTCCTAAAATTCTATATTTCAGACAATCCCACAAAAATGGGTAAAATTCTCCAATATTTTAAAAGCAAGTCAAAAGCTTAGATCACACTAATTTTTCAGTAAGATGCCAAAAGGATCTAAGATCAATTAAAATTACCTAGTCTAACTACATATGTGTATTCTTTGAGTGATGAATCTCAAGAGACAAAGTCAATTGAATCAATAAAGTAGGAAATCTGATTCCAATTCTAATTCATAAAATGTCTCTATTTCTTACATGAATAAAATGGATTCAATAATAGTTATTAACTCAAATACAGGAAAGCACAGGTAAAGACCATCTAGTAGTAAATTTTAAAGTCTGTAAGCACTCATTATACAAATGTATTATACTACTGTAACTGCAGCCATTGTTTAAATGTATTTGCTCTTCCAAGCTTTACAGATTTAAAAAAATAAGTCTGTGTCATCAAACTAGATTTGCATCTGGAAGCCCTGAAAAGATTGCAAAATCATGCTAAAAGTACACAATGAAAATTCCAATAGTTTTATATATATACACATACGTGTGTGTGTATATATATATATACACATATATATGTATATATATATATATATATACACACACACGTGTGTCTTACTTGACTGCCAGTTATCACACTGAAATGTAAAGTAGAAGCTTTCACAAATCGGCTTTAAGTAAAAAAAAAATCCCAATCCATTCTGTTTAATATATATATAGAAAAAGCATCCTTAAAAATGCAATCACTTGAATATTTTGCAAGATGTTTTCAGGAACACTAAGAATTCAACATACCAGTAACTTCAGAAACAAAACTGACTCTTTAAAACTCACTCTTTAAAGCTCCATAATGAAGCTAAGCAGACATTTCAAATTCAAATAAGTAGTATTTCAAAATATGTTTCTATCAGTCCTTGTGTAAACAAACAAAAAAATGACACATTAAAAACTCTTAAAGGATACTGCTTACTCATCATTCCTCAAAACTTTCACACTCAAATTTTCCTTTTGGCAAATTCCCAAGCCAAAAGGTTATGAAAAACAGAATTCAGACCCAAAGTTTGCTGTTATTATAATCAGTTGCTCTCTCTCTCTCTCTTTTTTTTTTTTTAACATGCCACTATAAGATTTAGGTCTCCTGCATTTCAGCAATAAATATTAAACACTAGTTTCCTAGTTTTCTCATCCATGAGAAAAGCATTATTGTCAGTCCAGGGGAAAAAACACGTTTGGTTTGAAAGGGGGAAACTACACGCTCCAGTTGTCTACTTACTACTGGTGGTTTTTTAGAAGTAGAGATAAACTCAACAATCTAAACTCAACAGTCATGTGTAACATATCTGTGGGTTAGAGTGCAGTTACACTGGCCTTAAAAGAGTTCTCTTACCAAGTTTTCGAGAAACTTAAAAACTTTTAAAATTCTGCATTAAGTCGGACAGAGCTCTTTGCTAAACATTGTAATCTGACACTAGGCTGAAGAAGTTGACCAAGTTTAAGTAACCCAAGAGGAAATGTTTCCTGCTTTCTGTTAGAACAGTCTACAATGACCTACAATAACACTGCCAAGAGGCAGAGGTTACTCTCGGGCATTAGATGCTGCTATCAGGAAGTCAGTTGGGTCTTCTCCCCCCTCCCCTGTCTTTCTGCCACTGTGGTACTAATCTCAAGTGTTTGTAAGAATTCAACCTTGCTTTCCCATTGTTTATAAAGACAAGAAATATCACAAGAAGAGTTGGAAAATATACCCCAGGCCAACTATATAGCTCCCTCTTCATTTTAATGAAAGGGCTGTGCTATGGAAAACTTCTAAGTTATGAACCAATTCACTCTGTATCAAAACAAATTTGCCAGTGAACTTCTCTGGGAAGGTGCAAGGACCCTTTCTAAATGGAACCAAAGGTCTATTTGACATTTTATTTAATTTTAGCATCACTTTACCTAGTCTGCTCCTGTAAGATGAGATGAGGCTCCACGAAGAACTTGACTCTCAGTTTAAGCCGGTAAGGGGCTAGCCCATCCATCTGCTGTGAGATCCGGTTTCTCAGATTTAGCCATAAACTTTCACCTTTGCTACCCGTAAACTGCAGTCCAAAATAATCAACTTCTATAATTCCCAATCGCCTGCACACCTAAAACAAAAATGAATGCAACATATATAAGCAAATGGTCCACGTAGTCAAAGCAAACCCAAGGACTCCACTGAGTCTAATATTCCTGCCTACTCTTTACAAAGTTCAACAACAGTGTTCAATTTCTGTCATAAACTGGAAGAACAAAAATGTAAGATTCCAGTGATGCTATACCACTAGGTGAAGTATAGAAGCTCATCCTTCCTTTAACACCAAGGACATGGCCAATGGCAGTAGAGTAAAAAGAGTCCTCAAAAGTAGCCTTCCAGAAAGACTGAGGAGACGCTCAGGCAATTTTCCTTCTTCCAATCATCGGAATTCCCTCCACCAGCACAATCGACACAGCTGATTTGGCAGCTTAGCATCTAGACAATTTTAACCATCTGGACTCCAAAAATACAAACAATTTGAAGAAACATGCCACAAGTGTCAGCTAAGCTTTACAAGAGGTTTTCCAAACATCTCAGGTCTAGGGGTTTTGAGGGCATAGCGTTTCACTTGAGATCAAATCTGCTGTCTGCCATACAAATATGCACAGTTTGGAACGGTTGTTCTTCACTCGTAAAGAAACGCGTGCTTAAAGACAATCGATGAATAAATGACCCCAAACCTACGGCCCTTTCGTACCCTGCAAATCCGGAGATGCAGGTGAATGATCCATTTGAGAAGCAGCAACAGACAAGGGCACGGCTTGTCTGCCAAGCAACCCGAGGGACTTGCGACCGCCTCCAGTCACCTCATCCCGGGACGCTGGTGTCGCAGTCAGGCCCCCGCGGGGACCCGACAAGAGGCATCTTGTACACACCTGCGGCAGGTGTGCAGGGCTGCCTTCTTCTGGAAAGTGCCGGGCTTGGGGGAGGGGGAGCAGGGTGGCCAGCCGCCGTGCGCATCCTCTGCGGTCCCCCACGCGCTCCCGGCGCGCCAGGATGGGGGCCGCGCGCCTCACGCCCACGGGTAGTAGGAGGCACGGGCCCGGCGCTTGGGGCGCACGCCCCCCAAGCGCTGCCGCAGCGCCGCCCGGCAGGCACCCGGCGCCGCCGAGAGGCCCCTTGGCCTATGGGGACCGGCCGGGTCTCCACCTAGTCCCTCGTCCTCACCTGGTTGAGGCAGTCCTCGCCATTGGCTTTCGCCTCCACCTCCACTTCCATCAGCACCGCGTCCGGCCTCGTCACATAGCACAGCATGGCTGGGGCCGCCGCTGCCTCCAAAGCCGCCTCCTCTTTGGTGTGCGCGGGGATGCCGCCTTGCCACCAATAAGACCCAGTCAGGGTCTCGGCGAGGCTGGTCCTGAAAGGCTGCCGCCCTGCAGACCCTTGTCCTGCGCCTTGCGGCTGCCGCTCCCTCCCACTACCCCCTTGCCAGGCCGCCGGCTGACTCTCCGGGTCTCCACGGTGGCGCCGCACGCCAGCAGCCCGACTGCCTGCGCCGCGACAGGGACTCCTCTGATATAGTGGCCCCGCCCCCTCCGGCTGGTGTCCCCGCCAATCACAGCGGGTTCGCCCCGCCCTCCCTGTCCTGCCATCCAATAGAGGCGCCCGATCGACCACAAGCCCACCTCCCAGCTTCGGCTGAGTTCCCGGGGCCGCCTGGGGAGGTGGCAGCTTGTCGGCGCCGAAGACTGCGGGAGGAGGGAGGTCCGGAACACACCCGCTGCCTCTGCCGGCTGGGCGACGCTGCTCCGAGCGAGCAAGCGAGCTAGCGACCGCCCCGGGCTCCGAAGCAGGGACGCATTTCTGTCAGGCTTTAATTTTGCAGTGATTAAAAGCTGCCGCTTTTCTCCATAAGCCTCAGGTCACTCCAAAAACACATTTCAGGAGGTGAAAGCAGAAAGGAAAGGGAGCAACGCCAAAGCCTAAGGAAAACTATTTCCCCTGGGGTTTGCCACAGTGAGTTGTTGGAAGGCGGAATGGTTGTTCTTCATTTCAGATCTCGTCACTGAAAACCAATCTAAGTATAAAAGTTTTTGCAGTTGACCAATAAGCCAGGGAGCTTGATCTAGTGCTTTGGTATGAATCCTCTCCAGAGGCTTCTATTTACCTGTTGTGCTGAATCAAAACATCTTACAAGGCACTAAGTCCCTCTCTCGGGTTTCTCATCCTATCTCATGTCTTATCTCATTCACTCTTTAAACATTAATTGAGCACCTTCTCTGCTGCCGGTCCCTTCTCTCATGCAACCAGATGTTATCCCCATCTTAAAGGTAAAGGAATCATCTCAGAACCTAACAGGTGGTATAACCTCAGTAGTAGCTATTAATAATTTAAGATCTACAACTCTTGACTGACTTAACTGCTTGTTCCTCTCTGCCAAGACAATACTTAGCCTAGCTCTTTGGTTAAGAAAGCAGATGCGAGTTTCAGCCTTGAACCTTTGGAAAACAATTCATCTCTCTGAAGCTCAGTGTTCTCAGCAGTACAATGGAGACCACAATATCCATTTTGCCTTCCTCCCCTCCTAACCCAGCATTGCTGTGAAACACAGCAGAGATAATGTTCATAAAAGCATTTGAACGACTCCGTATACATGCAGGGAGATGTATAATGTCAGCTCCGTCACTGCCTGCCGATGATGTTTGTCCTTATCCCTTTTCCTGAGTCCTGATTACCTCTGTCTCAGGAGCCTTTTTTTCTGAAGAAGTATGAAGGATATCAGAGCAGATGGCTACAGGAAAGGATCCTTCCACAGTCTTTTGCTAAAGTCAACTATGGGTAAAACCATAAATAGTCAAAGTTCTGACTTCCAGTGTTGTAGTGAATATGTGCCCTCTTGCATCTTTCTTTGTGTCTTATGGATACACCTCACGACATTGTGCTGCTGAATCAGTCTATCTTATATCAACTCTTGTTTTCCATTCCTTTAATTCCAGTTTACTGATCTGGAAAATTTATCTGGGAGATAACATTCGGATCACTGTTATCCAATCAATGCTTAATCACTAGAAGTTTTAGAGCTAAGGAGTAGCGAGGGGCAAGATGGAGGTGAGGTACATTGGTTAATATTTAGCTGGCTAATCCAAAGTCAGCTAACCAAAAGTTGGCTAACTTAAGCAAAAAGGAATTTAGGGCACAAATTTGGGGGAGCTCAGAGAATCAGTGAGGACTAGGCATGGAAGTAGATAGAAAGGGAGAAATATTGGTTGGGCAAGAAAAAAAAACAACAACAATAACAATAACAACAAAAACAAGCAAAACCCGAAAACAAATATTCATTTTGTGGAAAAACAACTTTAAAAATGAGTTATGTATTTTATTTTGGCAGGCATATTTTTAATTCAAACCTAAATTATGTTCCTGCTATGGCATGGTTGGTAAAAATTTCAATTGTTTTTGAAATTAAGAATTATGAGATAAGACTGAAGAGGAAAAGAATTTCTTAAAACAAAACAAAGCAAGAAAGTTAAAAACGGGAAAATGGCGTTTGAGGAGGGGAGAGAACTCCTGATAACCGAGAAAAAAAAGAATACTAGCTTCTACTAGACTATACCAGAAATATGAGACCAACCTCTCATCCGTCTGTCTCTTTCCTAATTTCTTCCTTGAGTAGAGATAGAGACTGGTTAATTAAGGAATGAAAAGGCTGAGTTTGTTGGATTCGGTGAGAAAGCACAGCATGCTCAAAGACCCAGTTAGGGACTAGAAAGCCCACAATAGAATTACTTCCTAGAGGATCTCACCATCTGGTCATGCTACTAAAAAGTCTGGAGCCAGTTTCAAGCCCCAGGTGGGCCTAACTCCAAAATAAGAGACTGACACCCTGGCCTGGGGGTGGTATTTGATCAAGCTGTGACAGAAACAGTTCGAATTAGTCATAGAGGTGCTACATTTTATCAGTGCCTGCTTTCTTTTGCTCTCAAAAAGCTATCTCCTTTTAAAGATAGAATTAAAATAAACCAGCAAAGTTCAGGGATCAGCTGCATGAAGGTAGATTTTGTTAAATAGAAATCATACCTAAGCAGTAGAGTCTGCTAAGCCAGTGGAGTCCTGGCTATTCAAAAACACCCAAGCACCACAGTTGTTCTTGGTCTCATATACCAGGGCTAAAGACTGAGCACTAGCTAATATTTGCAGAATATGATGCAATGGTTGTCTGGCTGAGAAATTGTTCTTCTGGTTGAGCACTAGATCTGATCTGGCTGGCCAGATACCTGTCCTGTTCATTTCTCTCTCAAAACTGCACATACCACTGCAGAAACCTTGTGCTGTGTCAAAGGAAAGGCCCTTCTCTTTACCTCTCATTGTTCATTTGTAGGAGCATGGAGAGAAGAACACTTAGTGACTGCCTAAAAAACTGTCCATTTGCTTTCACACATTATTCACGCTAATTATTCACATAAACAATACTTCATTTTGCACAAGTGTGTTAGAATGTATCAAGTGAGCTGAAATCTCTCATTTGAAATATTGGACTTGTGAAATTCAGGAGTAGATTAATTTGACTCTGGCCTACCATCAAAGCAGAGTGTCTCATTTCCAAAACTTGCTGTTTGAAGAGTGAAAGAAAGGATGGAGAAAGCATAAGTATTGCCCATATTACAAACTTTGGAAAATACAAAATGGCATAGTCCTAATTAGACAATTTAAATGATGTTTTCCTATTTATGAGGGTAGTTCATATTCACGTAGACAACTTGGAAAAGATTGAAAAGTACAAGGGAAAAATGCACCTGTAATTTTATCAGGTATTGCTGGTTCATATTGATGTTTTACTTTTGTACTTTGCATGCAATATGCTCTACATTTTTATTGTGATATAAACAAATACAGCACATAAACTTCTGGAGATATTTCAAGAGAGCAATAGGGAGTTTCAAATCTATACTTAGATTATAAACATTAGGAAAATTATAAACAAAAAATGATCACCACAAAAAAAATTACAAGTAGTACTGTTTCTTAGCTGTCTTCTTTTCTTTTCTAAAATACCACCCTTTCTACTGTTTGTTTTTCTTCTCACTACTCATATGCCCTGAAATGTCAGATTTCATGATATGCTTACTTCTTTGGCATGCATCGTTTAGTTGAGAGATGCTAAGAGCTGGGAAATCATTTCCACTTGGCACATTTTGTTTATAACAAAAATATTTTGTTTACTATTTTGATACCTGTATTTTACTTATGGAGAAGATAAATAATTAAGCCTGTGTGATACAGTTGCCTCTCAAGTGTGGTGATATGCAGTGTTGATCCACTCACAACAGGATTCACTATCATTCTGATCTTGAATGAGGTTGGATGGATGCTGGGGATGCAATTGGAAGCGGAACAGAAGACCCAATATGCCTGAGGCTCAAACTCACAAACCTGTTCTAACCAGTAAGTGTTCTAACCAGCTGACCTATAATGACACCTCTCCCTGGCCCCTCTCACTGTGTCTGAGCATGCCTTTTTGTAAAGGAAAGTGGGGCCAACATGATGTATTATGTGGATGGGGATGACATAGAAATTGATGGGGGTAGCCATTTCCCAAACCAGTGCAACATTAGAGAGTACCAACCTTCCAGAGAAAAGTGAAACGCGGTTAGAAATGCTATAGAAATACCAAAAGTACATGAAATCAGCTACATATGTTAGAAAAACCACAAGCTTTTAATAAGTGAGATAGAACAAGATAAAACTATGAGTGTTTTGGAATAAGACAACATTTCACTCAACTTCAATTACACCATCTCTGCCCAGCTTATTTATTGTTGCTGACATTTGTAGAGTTTATATCACTTGATATGAAAATCTTACCACTCCTTCAGTTATTCCTCATTTTGTCTCTGCTGTGTTCTTGGAGATCATGATCATTTGAAAATGACTTGATAACAAAGGTCTATTTTCTCCCTGACAATCTCTCAGTGGCTATCAGGACCCAGCACTCTGCCAGTTGCTTTCTCTTCTCTATTTTCTCCCATGGTTCAGAATTCCTGAGAGAGCTCAGTCAGATAGCCATCTGTATCCCAGGGTGAGTGGAGGTAGCCTTGTCTCTCCCTTCTTGCTGTGATGGATCTAGACCTTGGACCTTAGCCCTCTACTTCCAAAATGTGGAAAACAGACATTTCAGCTCCCAGAGCCCAGGAAGACTGTAATAATTATGTGGAGTTTGTGGGCATTTCCCAGATTGACACAAGCAGGAGACCCTGCCTTTTCTTGGGTCTAGACTTCTAGGCGAAGAGAAGTCTAAGCATGTACTCCTCAGGGATGAGTATGAATCTGGTGCCCACCAGAAGTTAGGCTCGCAAGAGTACTATGAAGCCCAGAGAGTAAATTGGATCTTGCACTGACCTACCTAGTTTTTGTGTAGTTGCCCTTGGCTACCCTTAATAATTTGCAAACAGGCCAACCCTCTTATCTTTCTAAGGATGAAGGTGAAAATGGCCTCAGAACCTCATTTGGGTTTGAGTTTTAAAGTAAATAGCCCCTGCC